ATCTTACAATTAATCAATTCCAGTTAATGAAGCTTTGATTTAAATTAATATTGTCCAGAAAGACACTTGACAATTATCAAAATTATAATCCTAATTATTATATGATATATTGAACAATTGTATAGAATTAAATTAAATATAATCAAATCATTGAGATATCATTTTCACAAATAGTTTTATATGATCTTAATTTGATAGAAATCTAACTAAATAATATCAAGCATTGTTAAGACAAAACTAATATCAAGTCCAGAAAACAATATAACGATTCACTTGCTCTAAAATTGAGTTTAACTGTAAATTGTTAGAGATTAAGAAGATATTATCCTAATTATTATATGATATATTGATCAATTGTACATAATTAAATTAAATATAATCAAATCTTTGTGATATCATGTTCACAAAAAGTATTATATGATTCCAATTTCATTAGAATCTAAATAATGTCAATATAATGATTCCCTTGCTCTAAAATTGAATTCAACTGTAAATTGTTATAGATTAAGAAGATATTATCCTAATTATTATATGATATATTGATCAAGTGTAAATAATTAAATTGAATATAATCAAATCCTTGTGATATCATCTTTACAAATAGTTTTATATGATTCCAATTTCATTAGAATCTAAATAATGTCAATATAATGATTCCCTTGCTCGAAAACTGAGTTCAACTGTAAATTGTTAGAGATGACGAAGATGACGACAATGATGGAATGTCGAGATCGATCCTCTCCATCGTCAAATCGATAACAGGCCTACCTTCCTACAATCCTACCTCCCAACCTCTCTCTCTCTCTCTCTCTCTCTCTCTCTTCTCCTCAGCTTCAATTCCACCCTCTCCTTCAGTACTTCCTGCAGTCCCGATCAGTGTGCTAGTAGAAGCCCGAAGCGTGCTTCATCTTCCGCGATTGGAAGTACTCTGATGCTGCTTCCCATCTGGAGTGTCCTTCAGAGGTTCGCGCGGCTAGACAGATAGATTGGAAGAGTGCTGAGGATCGAAGAGGGAAAGCGTATAGATAGGATCGTCAAGATATTCCGATACGCCATATCGAATCGACCGTGAAACCGTTTATTCTGACACGCCATTCGATTCGTCTTTTCTATCTTTTATTACCCTTTTTTTTTTTTAACCTTCTTCTTCTTCTTTACTTTTTCTCTATGCATTGATTTATTTTGTCTAGTTTCTTTTTTAAGGTTCTTATTTTACACTCTTGTTCGTATATTCAAATAAAAAAGATTAAGGGTAACTTCAAAAAATGTGGATACTAATATTGTTTAGTTGTTAGTAGAGTGTGGTTACTATTGTAAATATATTTAATGTAATATTTGAATAGTTAGGGATTTTATAGTATGTAGATAATTTTAATAATTAATTTGAAATAATTGTTATATTATATGGATTATAGTTTTGAATAGTAATTATTATATTAATATTGTAATTAAATATAATTATACTGATATATCGATTCGTCTTTTATATCTTTTATTACTATTTTCATTTTCCTAATTTTCTTTAAGATTGAAATTTATTATAGTACTATAGTAATTATACTATACAGAGAGAGAGAG